TGCTTCAGATCTGCCAAATATCGCAGCACTCACTGTTTGAAGACCGTGTGGACTGGGGACAAAAACTGAAGATGATGATAAAAAAGGATTAAAGCCACAATCAAGGAATACACATGTTTTAAAAGGGTAGATCCAAGGAGAAGCCATGCTAAACAGTTCTTGGAACATGTAAACTAGTTTGGGGAAAAAGTTTACTCTGCATAAGAGTCTATGACTATACAACAGGCTGATGTAAGGGAAAAGGTATTTAAGAGGTGGCCCTGAAGATAACAGTGGACTCTTGACTGAGTGCCAAGATACACCTGGCTCTAACAACCTTTGCTCTATGGTCCTTGTCTCCTATTGCCCTTTATTCAGCTTTTAAAATTTTCACAGGAAAGTGAACGTGTTTTTCACATTGTTGTTTGCCTGGTTATACATGTACATACTAGTAAAGAAGTGTATATATATCACACTTCCCATATCTGAAAGCCCTTTGATTTCAGAGTTAAAATCATTTGGAGGGAAGGGGGTCACATTTTCCACTGCAGGGGAGGTTCCTGCTTTCCTTGGTGGACACCTGGCTTTTAAACCAAGACACCTCCCTTGAAACAGCTTCACTGCAGTCCCTCAGCTCCCTGGTTCCCATTCTTGGTTTGGCTGGGCTGTTCCTGTGATACAGCATTGCAGTATGGGAGGTGGGACAAGCCAGACACCTGGCAGATCTGGAGCTGGAGTGGCTTTTCCTTGACTGAGTGGGTTTTTCACTGCTTTGGATTATGACTGGGAACTGAGGCCATCAGACAGGAACTCCCAGGGGTCCATTCATGTCTGCAGAAGGAGGGGCCCAGCACCCATCCTGGGGAGGACTGGCCATCCTTAGCCCTGGGCCATGGCAAACCTGGTGCTGTGTCACCCAACCTGGCTTCTCCCTGGGGAGGGCTTCCTCCCTCCTGTCCAACCAACTGCTGAGTGAACTGGGTGCTGAACCTCCACCAGGAGGAAGAGGAGGGACAAACAAGGTGAGACTGGCTATGCAGGGACCCAGGAGTGGGATGCAGGGTTGGGAGAGGAACAGTCTGAGAGAAACATTTTTTTCCCTCTTGGAAACATAATTTTGAGGCTGGATGATTGCATCCTGTAGGCAAAGCTCTTGAGTCATTCTTTGGGGAATTTAACTCACCCTCTGCAAACCAGCCACAGAGCTGCTTGTTAAGGGCTTTATTGGGCAAAGTTGGCTCCAGCAGGAGAGGAAGCAAATCCCACCCCATTCCCAGGGAAGAGCGCTTGCATTGTCCTGCTCTGGCCCTTCTTCAGCTGCAGCAGGAGTCTCGTGGTGCAGAGGGTTTGTAGCCTGGCTCGGTGGGCCCAGCAAAACCTCCCTGTGTCCAGGCAGGGAGCGGGGGCCCAGCTGGATGTGCCAGCACCCCTGTGCTGTCAGGGCTCTTGAGGCAGTGCATGAAGGAGGGCTCAGACTCGTAGGGTGCAGGCGCCCCATCTCCTGGCCTCCCTCAGCCCCAGTGCCGGAGTTTAGCTCGGCTCTCCTTGGAGTGGCCCTCGGGCGTTGGCGTTGCCAAGGACAGGAGGTTCTCGGGCTCCAGGATGAACATGCCATACAGGTTCCAGAGCAGCATGGCCAGGAGCGGCAGGAAGGTCATGCTGAAGCCAAAGGCACGGAAGGAGCGGCCGATGGCGTAGGACATCCAGAAAATCAGCCTGGAGAAGGCAGAGGGTGCGGGCTCAGCCAGGGTGATGCTGTGGGGCTGGCACTCACTGGTTCTGACCAGTGGGGATTTCCCAGGCATGGCTGCCGTAGGAAGAGGAACCCTTCCTGGCTTTGGGGAGCTGCGTAAGGTGCTGCCACAGTGGGAGTTTGCTCCAAGGCACGGTGCTGGCTGGCACTGACAGAGCCAGCAGCCTGGGGTGAAGGAGCCACTTACCGGGAGATGGCGAAGAGCCCTGTGAGCAGTGGGATGAGCTTGAGGAGCTCCTGTGGGAGGTAGGTGGCCAGCACAGCCATGTTGAAGAAGTAGAGGATGAAGAGATGGACAGACTGGGAGACGTAAGTGCGGTGGATCTCCACCTCCTGGTGGAGCTCTCCAAAGGGCTCCAGGGCGGAGGAGCAGAGGCGGGAGATGCCACTGACGATTATTCCTGAGGGACAGAGAGAGAGGCTCAGTGGATGCCCAGTGGAGCCACGGTGGGGTTTGGGTAGAAGCAGGAGGGGAGAAAATCTCCATTTGCTGCTCCTGGTGGGAGCAACAGAGCCACAAAGAGCTCAGCCCCACTCTGCTCCTGCAGCCCCAGGCTCACGTAGCCCAGAGCAGGAGTAAAGCACTCATACCCAAGCCCATGGCTCACCCAGCACGATGGGGAAGGTGGCAAAGGTGGCACAGCGCAATGTGTAGACCAGGCGGGCGCTGACGGTGGGCAGCAGTGGGGCATCGAAGGGCAAGAAGATGTAGGCACCATAGATGAGGCAAGGGCAGAGGAGAAGGGCTCCTGCCACTGATGCCACAGCCTTGAGATTATCAGTGCCACAGTCCCTGGCACACGGGCACTGTGACCCCTCAGCCGGGGGCTTGGCCATGTGCCCCTCAAAGCCCAGTGGGTTCCGGCAGCGCGAGGGGCCAACGGGGAGGAAGACCTGCTTGTGGTGGAGGCTGCTGGGTCTGTCACTGGGGGGGACGCTGGGGGGAACATCCCCCCTGCTCTCCTCCCGGGGCCATGGGGTTGGGTGCTGCTTCTGCTTGATGGGACTCTGCTCGATGCACTGCGGGTCGATGGGCACAAAGACGTGGGCCGCCATCACGGGCAGCCGGGGCACTTCCTCATCTTCAGCCTCGACTGTGGGGCAGGTGGGAGCAGCTTCCTCTGGGTCTTCATGGCCACCCTCAGGACTCGAGCGCCTCTTTGTCTCCACGAGCTCCGGCTGGCCCCAGGCATTGTGCTGACTCTGGTCCCATGGCAGGGTGGAATCAGGGTCCCCCTGGTGCTCACCTGGGGCTGGTGGCACCTTGGCCAGGGCCACCTTCCCCAGCTCCAGCAGAGCCACCTCCTCAGGGGGCTGGACAGGGTCTGCAGCAGCCATGAGAGTGTCCAGCTCCACACTGCCAGGGATGGGGGTTGGTAACACTGCTGCCTGCACTTGTGGTGTTCAGAGGGGATAAAGTTCCTGTCCTTTCTGCTTTCACCCTGGACCAGGAGAAAGGAGACAGATAAATTTACATCAGAAATGAGAGGTTTGGGGTCACATGCACAGCACCAGTTACAAAGTGGGAGCAAACTGGCAGCCCTGGAGCCCCCACTACCCGGCTGTCCTTGCACTAGGAGGGGAAAGCAGTGCCTGGTGTCCCTGTGCTCTGGCCCCTGGCAGCAGGGTCAGGTACTGTCCTGGGAGGGGTGAACTCTGGAGGTGTAGGTCTGGCTGCAAAACAGGGCTGCCTAGGAATAACTTCAACATCCTGGGGGTTCTAGCTGGGCACAACCCAGCAGATACAACTGGCTCCTTGGTGGCTCTCTCCCGGGCCAGGACCAGCCAAGCCCTGGGGAGAGGTGACCTAGCTGCTTCCCAGAACCATGGCTACAGCGGGCACGGGCCAGGTTTGCTGCCTCTTGTAGCTGAGACTGATGTGGGGTGGGCAAAAGTGGCTGCTGGGTGCCCTTCCATGGGTGCAGGAGGTACGGGCAGAGCTCCATGTTGTTACCCTTAGGGAAACCTTGTCTCTTGGCCCGTCCTCAGTGTCCTGCCTGCCTCCTGCAATGAACGTTTCTCCTTCGCTCCTCTCAGCACATTGATCCCTGCACCCTCAGGAACTTGGCCTGGCCACAGGTGTGGGGAAACTGAGGCACGGAGCCGCTTGGGGCTTCCTCCGCGACCCACACACGGAACTAGGGCTGAAACAGCTTCCCAGGTTTCCCGTGCCTCCAGCGCCCGGTCCCGGAGCCCAGCCCCTCTGGCAGCCCCCAGCCCCGCTTCCCCCGGGCAGCGCCTCCCCTCGCGGCAGCACTCACTCGGGCTCGGGCGGGGGGCCATGGGGGCAGCTCTGCGGGACCCTGCGGGATTCCAGCGCTCTCCCGGCGCCTCCGCGCCGCGAACCTGCCGAACCGGCTCAGGTGGGGCGGGCGGAGGGGCGGGCGCTCCGCCCGTCCCAGCCCGGCGTGGCCCCGGGGGCTCGGCGGAGGGGACGGGGCGAGCCCGGCGCTGTCCCCCGTGGCAGGCGGGGGACCCCCGGCTCCCTGTGGGCCGCTCGGGGCGTGCCAAGTTAAAGAGCTCTCTAAACACACAGAGAGTTTAAAAAGGGGACGGACAAGTCAGCCCTTGCTCATTCTGCGAGGGTGCGAGGTGGAGCTTTCCACAAATCAAGCGCACCAAGGGTAACACGAAGTTACACCTTCTATACAGTAAAATTTACATTAACCCGTCTAATACACATCACCGCCCACCTAAAGAACATTTATGTATCGTAACCTAACACAATGCTTGAAATACAAAGTCGTTTTATTTTGAGCAACTTTTCTTACAGAAGTTACGTGACGGCACAGTTACGTTTACAGAAGGTGAGAAGGTTCAGCATGAAGACACCACTGCGGGAGCCGCGGCCCCACAGGACCCGCCGGGATGCCTGGCCAGTCCCTCGGGATCCCAGAGCGCGGGGAGGAATTCCTGCGCCGTCGCCCCCGCTCCCGACCCCACAGCCAGGCGGGGTGCTCTGGTGCAGCGCTCGACCCGGGCACCGGGCGGCACCGGGCCCGCCCCGGCACCGGGCCCGCCCCGGCACCGCGCCCGCCCCGGCACCGGGCCCGCCCGCCTGAGGCGGCCGCCGCCATGTTGCCAGCACTAAGTGCGGGCCTCTCGCGCGAGCTGGCTCTCGCGAGACCAGGTCGCCCCCGCCGCCGCCCTGCCCGCCCGGCGCGGCGCGGCCGCGGGAAATCTCGCGAGAGCAGTGAGGGCCAGGGGGCAGCCATGGCGGCCGAGCGGGCCCGGGGGCGGCGGCGGCGGCGGCGCGGGCGGTGCTGAGGGGCCGCGGGGCCGGGCCGGGCCTGCCGCGGGCGCCATGAGCCAGGGTGGCGGGGCCGCCGGCGAGAGCGGCGAGCCGGAGGCCAAGGTGCTGCACACCAAGCGGCTGTACCGGTGAGCAGAGGGGCCGGAGGGGATGCGGTGGCCGAGAAGGGGAGCGGGCTGGCGGACACCGGGGGCAGCCGGTGTCGGGAAGGGGCCGGGGCGGCTCCCGGTGAGGCTGGGGAGGGCCGGCGTGGAGACGGTCGGGGGGTTACTCAGGGGGACGGGGGGTAACTGGGGGTGCCCGAGGAGAGCAGAGGGAGAATGGGGCTGGGCAGCGTCCGGCGGGGACTGGGGGTGACGGCAGCGAAGGGGATTGGGGCGGGGGAGCTTGGGCGAGCCTGGCGAGGAGCAGGGTGAAGGAGGTGGCGGGATATAGGGAAGATGGAAGGAAAGGAGATGAGGGAGTTGTCAGGGAAGGATTCGGGGGGAAGGAGATGGTGGAATCGAGGTAACAGCAGGGATTGATGGAGCGGGGTGGGGAGGGGGCTCCTGAATCCAGGGGAATCCGGGGGAGACTGGGAGAACGAGGGCGAAGGGAATTGGAGGGCTATTCAGAGAAGATGGGGAAAGGAGATTATGGAATTTAGGGAAGACTGAAGTGAAGTTGTGGGGAAATCCAGGGAAAGGATGCAGTGCAAAGGGAGAGGAGAGGGAGGAGGTTTAGGGAAGACCAGGGAAAGGCAATGTGTGGAAGGGAGTTGTATGAGATCCAGAGGGGATAAGCAACACATGGAGGGGTTCCACTGGGGAAAAGGAGTCTGGTGGCTTCAGGGCAGATTAGTCAGACCAAGGGACTGGGGGAAGGAGCTGTGGGAGATCCAGGTAAGATGGGAGAATGGAGAGATAGGGGAAGGAGATAGGTGGGAGACCAGGAAGGGGGTAAGGGGACACCCAGGATAATGAGTAAGGACATGGGGAGGTGGAAAAAGGGATTCAGTGGGATTCAGAGAGAATGGTGGGGGCTGAGTGGAAAGGAGTTGTTGGGATACAGTGGGATAAGGGTGAGATGTGGGGTCATCCAGAGAGAGAGGGGTTGGAGAGGGTGTCCCTGGCTTTGGTACTATGCAGGGATTATGTGAGAAGTGCTGGAGTGGGTGTGATGAGCAGGAGTGTGAGCTGGGACACTTTGCTATTGTGTGGAGGGCAAGACAGCTCCAGCTGCAGATCTTTCCAGTTAAGCACTCCCTGGGACTCTGGTCCCACATTTCTACACCATGCATTGGAAATGGCATCAGAGAACAGGACTGGGGCACTCCTGCTGGCCTTGGTGAGCTCAGGCCCCCTCTGCTCCTGATCTGTTTTGTGAGGGCAGCCCAGAAATTGTTCCTTTCTGGCTCAGATCCACAGGAGTTCCAGCAGCAGCTCTGGGTCTCAAAGATGAGCAAAATGATGGAGACAAGAGATGAATTTTACATGAGGGTCCATTTCTTTTTGTCTTGATGACATTGGCTGTGTCCTTGCACCTTGTGGGACCTCACTGCCTACCTCTACAGCAGGGCAGGGTTTTGCCTTGTGATGGAGGTATAGGCTGCACAGTCCTGCCCAGAGCACCCCGGGCTGTGGGGCTCTGTGTCTGCTGCACCTTCAGTGATCTCCACCACATCTGCTGGAGGCTGAGCTAGAGCAGCAGAGCACTGTCCCTGCCCAAGGAGTGTGGGACAGGGCTGGAGAGGATGTGCAGGATGTGTGTGCTTCTGCCTTTGTTGAAACCCTCCTCGTTGTTGTTCAAGACCTGTTTTGCTTTGTTTTCCTGGTGCTGCTCAGCTCATCTGTCAAGTGGAACCTCACGTTCTGCTGCAGCCAGCAAGAGAACGGCCTGTGGCCAGATGAGGAATTGTCATCCCTGCAAGGGAGGGGTTGTTTTCTGTTTGAATTTTTGTAGCAGAATAAGGCGTGTAGTTGCTCTAGAGAGTTCTTACAGCAGAAAAAGAAGCACCCTCCTCCTGCAGGGACAGCTCTTCTTTAGCAGGGAGGAAGCATTGTGATTTTAGTGCAGGATTTATAGTACCTGCAGTGGCCACAAATTTCTATCCTTGTAGCTGACAGTTCTCTGAGCAGGTTCCCACCTTCACAGTCTCCTGTCAGTTCTCGTCTGTTCCAGCCTGAAGTGGGAGTTTCCTGCCTGTTGTGTGGTGGCTGTGGTCTGAGAGCTCATGACTGTCCCACTAAGTGGCACCTTTGAGTCACAGATGCGTGAATGCCATAGTCCCAGCTCTAAACTGTGATCCCATGGGATCAGCGTGTTGTCAGCTTGTGGGAGCTGAGCTCAGGTCTCCAAGGTCCTTGGCAGCATGTTGGCTGTCAAGAGTGTCCTTTCAGAGAGGAAGGTGCCCATTGCTTCTCATAGGGTACTCTTTGATCTTTTCCAAGTCTTCCTAGATTGAGAGTTCCCAGGTTTCACCTTGAAATGTGGCAACTGCATTATAATGGGTGCACTTTTACAATGCTTGTTGTAGCGTAAGGTGACCAGGTTTATTTTACAGCTTTCTGGGTAACCATTAGCTCATGGACTCAGTGTTGCTGTTGTTTTGTGGAACCTGTTCCAGAAAGTGTACTGACACATGCCAGAGCACAGCTAAAAGACTTGCAGGTCTTTTCTCTTAATAATGTTTTACTCCTCAGATACTGTGGCTCTTAGTGATGTCCTAAATAAACAGAGGGGACAAATAATTCTCCCTGCTGTCCTGCTCCGTCCCAGAGTGTTAATTGCACGGAGGAAAAGGGGCTGATCAGTGTCTATATGGCTCGAGAAGACTTGGCATTAGCCTGTTTCCACCCTGCTTGGCACCATGTGCTGTATTTGTTTCTTTTAATAGACTGGCATCTGATGTGCCTCCTTTGTGGCTCTGATATACTGTCTGAAAGCAATGTTTAAACACAGCAGGTAGAAAAGTGGGTCCTGGGACAGGATTTCCGTTCTTAACTGCTAGGGAAAGTTCAACCTGTGGTCTTGGACAATTGAGGGCACAGATGCTAAAGTGCATTTCCAGCAGAGCATGGCCCATAGCAGCTGTGTTGGTGTTTCCCAGCATTTCTGGAGTGAGGCTGGCTCCTGTCCCTTTTGTCCTCACTGAGTCCTCTTTCCCCAGCACCACAGATGTGGGATCCTGGCAGGGAATCACCAGCTGTCACATTCTGCTTTACTCCTGCCTTCTTCTCTTCCAGCAGCACCACAGGGCCTGTGTGGATGTGCAGAAGGCAGTGTTTCAGCTGAGGCCTCCCTTAGGGCTGATGAAGTGTGACGCTTCATGACACACATCCTAGTGTCAGCCTTGCTGCTCTCTGGTCACAAACTCTGTTTCTTTACAAACACTGAAAGAACAGCAGAAATACCAAGTGTGTGCATGTGCCCATCCATGGGTTGTTGTATAAAATTAGGTTGTATGGCAGATACCCTCTGGGCCACCTTGATGGGAAGGTGATGTCCTTCTGTCCCCAGAAGGAAACTTTTTTGTACTTCTCATTTGGCAGGCCACTGGGATCATTTTCCACATTGGCTGTTATGGACACGTGTGCTTGTTTCAGATGCACACAGCTGAGATTTGTTGCCCACAGAATGTTATTTTACAGCTGCTTTACTGCTTATGTCAGGAATCAACTATTGTAGTTCTCTCTGGGAATCAAATGAACCAGCAGTTCCTCTTTCCCCTGGTCACCCTTTGTAGAGGAAGCCAGTCAGCTCCTGGTGTGCTGGAAGGGACTTTGAGAGCCACAGCTAGGACAGCAGTCTGAGGCTGTAGTAAGGAGAGGTGCATTGCCTGTGCTTTGTAGGGTTCTGTTGTGGGGAAGCTAAACTGGGGGCTTTTTGGGTTGTCCTAACCCAAATATGAGCTTGCATGGATGCTGCACACTCAGTGCCTGTTACCTGTAAACCAAAATGTATTTTACTTGCTTCTTTCCTGCTATGAGGGTATGAAGCTGTCAGAGTTTGCAAACACCTTTCAGGCCATATGAGAAAGAGGACAGTGAGCAGGAGGGGCTGGTTGTCAAGAATGTAACAAGATTTTTTGTGTGATTCTTACTATCTCCTTGGCTTTCTTCATGATTATTCAGTAAGAAACTGGTTCAAGTCTCTGGTGTTCCTCTTTCCCTAGGCGTTGCATGAGATACTTCTATTCCCCACGCTTCCCTTTTCCTGATGGTTTCTGTGGTTACTGGAAACAAGTGAGATTTCTTTACCTTGAGTGAGAGGCTTTCTGTCCCAGGAGATGGGACATTTTCTCTGTGAGCTCTGGAATGTCCTGGGGCTTGTTTCAGGGAGGTTCCTTTGGGTGTAGTGAGTTTGTGAAGAGAGATTTGCTTTGCTGGGAAGGTGCTGGCATAGGAAACTGTCGGTTACTTTGCAGTAACATCTTTAGTTTTCAAGGAAGTGGTGGTGGTTTCAGCCTCCCAGAACGTGGGCCTGCAGGCATTGGTTTGGGGGTGCCCTGTGCTCTGTTTGTCCACCATCGGTGCAGGAGCAGCAGGCTGTCACTGCATGGTGCTCTGAGTGTGATGGGGGAGTTCCTGATGTGCAGGTAATGGGGATTTCGGGAGGGGGAGCAGACTGGCTGCAGCACTTCTCTGCTCTGCTTGGCAGGAGTTTGCTCTGCTCCTGCTTTCTTTTGTGTTCACAGTACATTGTAATTGTCTTCAGCTCCTTGCTCCAACAGCTCTTGGTGGGACAGGAATTGGAGCAAATGAGGAGTGACAATGGGTGCGGTGGATATGAAGCTGAGGGGGAGAACAAGGACCACTGGGGTTTGGTAGCTGATGGCTTGGGAGATGTACTGCTTAAAAAAGAGCTGGGGAAAGTTAACTTCAGGAGTGGGTTTGGTGCCCTTGGGTACAGGTGGAGCAAAGGCAGAGGCTGGAGGTGACCTCTTGTGTAGGAAGGGTTGACAGTTATCGTGCTGTATCGAGCTGACCATGAGCTATTGGTGAGGTTTAGCACTAATGGTGCTGAAAGTCCCTAGGTTTGTTTTATTGCAGTGTTCAGAACTGTGGCGTGATTTGTTCACATCCACGAACTTCTGAGTGCTTGAGATTTAGACACAGTGGGATTCTTTCTCCAGGAGGAGGGTCTTGGGCAGTGATTCACTAAAGTACTTTTTTGCATGGCTCAGAGGTTTGGAGGTTGCTCACTCTGCCTTTTGGGGGAGAAAACCTTGGAACAAATTTCCTCTTTTAGGGTGGGTTTGAGTATCTGTTATCTGTCACTGAGGAAACTAGGGGTTCAACCAGTGAGTCCCTGTAACAAAGATGGGGAAGTTTTGGCAAATGAGAAACTTACATTGCCTTCTTTCATAGGCAGATTGGTAAGAAAACAGGAATTGGTTGAGATTTGATTCTTACATTATTAAAACTTAACCTATCAAAATAGTAGTTTTTAGAATTCAATCAATTTTTTAAAATCACAGAGTTGAAGACATTTAAATTAATCTGAGCGTAGGTATAGCAGATGTAATTGCCGAGGTTGCCAACATGTCCAGAGACATTTCTGATTTTGCAACTGTAGAAATAATTGAGATATTTTATCAGAGAGGCAGCAGTAAGTGGTGACTAAACCACTGTTCTGCAGAAAAATGCCTATAAGGTGTGCAACTCTGCTTTTTATTGAGTTCCATAACTTTGTTCAACTAGAGTGCAAAAAGAAGATCAGTGACTGTGGTGTGATACAGGGCAGTGTGCTGACAGTGGAACTAAATAGGCCAGTGTGGTTCTTTGCAGACACGTCCAATGTGCAGTGATCCCAGGTGACCTTCTCTCCTGAAACTCTTGACTCTGTCTTCTCATGCAGGGCAGTGGTTGAGGCTGTGCACCGGCTGGATCTCATCCTTGGCAATAAGGCAGCTTATCAGGATGTGTTCAAGCCAGAGAACATCAGCTTGAGGAACAAGTAAGTTGGGCAGCATGCTTGTGTTTTGTGTTTGGCTGGGGAAAATCTGGGAGAAGCAACACGTGGAGCTGTTGAATCTGCAGTTTTAATGTTTATTTGGTTTGTAGTGCACCTGTTAACCTGGGATCCTTCTAGGTTTTGGAAGCAGAAACTGGATTTCAGACCTGTATTTGAGCAGTGCAGTCCATGGCTTTCCTGGATGTCATTGATAGAAATAAATTGTCTTTGTGTTGGCCAATTGTTTCCTAGTAATAAAAACTGGGGGGCAGAAATTTCTTACATGTGTGTAAAAATCTTTTATCGGGGTAGGGGTTGCTGAGCGAGGATGATTATTCTTACTAATTTTTTAAGCTGTCAAGCCAATTCTTGTCATTCTTGCACTTCAGGAAGTCACACTGATGGCCAGCTGAGCCCAGAGGGCACTGGTTGAAGTATGTGGCTTTTCCTGGTGCTCTTGTGTGGTAGTGATCCAGGCTGTACCATCACCAGATGGCCTGGCTCAGCCATTGTAATGGATTCAGATTTTCCTCTTCTGTGCTTCTGTAGTGGCAGCTGTGTTTGAGGCTGCAGGGGCTCACTGAGAATGCTCTACTCTCTGTCCCAGGCTGCGGGAGCTGTGCGTGAAGCTGATGTTCCTGCATCCAGTGGATTATGGAAGAAAAGCAGAAGAACTGCTCTGGAGAAAGGTTTACTATGAAGTTATCCAGCTCATTAAAACAAATAAAAAGGCAGGTATCTGTGGCTCTGGCATGAGAAGGTCTCTAGCTGTGCAGTGGATGAGGCAAAGTTTAAAGCTTCATTTGCTTGGAGAAGGTGTGGTCTGAGCCCAGAGTGGGGAGCTGGGCACTCTCAAATTCCTATGGAGCTGCCTTGTGCTTTGTCTGGCAGTGAGCAGTTAAGCACTAACCTGCCATTGCAGAGGGCATTTCAACAGAATTTGCTTATTTTTTCTGTTCCCCTTTTCCTAAGACAGATCTCTCCAGGCAGAGTGATTGTTTTAAGAGTCTTTATCAGTGCTGATTGTTTTTAAGAAAGTTGATCACTGGAAGATCCTCAGTGCTCTTTGATGCTATAAGCTCTCCTGGCTTTCCAGGGGTCTGAGTGCATTTAAGGTGCTCTAAACAAATACTTTGATTTTATTTATTTGTTTTTACAATTATTTCTCCTTGATGTTGACCCTTAGTAAATACTACTAGGGGGAACACGGTTGAGCAGGAGGAGGTACAGAGCTGTACAAAACGAATCAGAGCTGAGTGTCTTGCTTCGCACTCAGTAGAGCTAAGCCTAAAGCGTGCCCGAGCTGCATTAACGTGCTCCTTTTCCTTCTCCCAGCACATCCACAGCCGCAGCACCCTGGAGTGCGCGTACCGGACTCACCTGGTGGCTGGCATCGGCTTCTACCAGCACCTCCTGCTCTACATCCAGTCCCATTACCAGCTGGAGCTGCAGTGCTGCATCGACTGGACACACGTGACAGACCCTCTCATAGGTTTGTGCTCAAGGTCTTTGGTTCATGGGCAAGGCTGAATCCCCACAGGTGACTTCCTCTTCACAGCATTCAAGATAATTTTTTTTTTCCCTGATTAGCAAGGTCTCTGTTTAGAACAGACTGTCCTGCTTTCTTTTTTGTCGCACTTTTTCTTTTAAATAATACTAAATTAGGGAAGAAAGAAAGGTTTCTAATAGAAAGGAAACAATGTGAGAAAATTCTTTAGTAAAAGTGTCTAGTAATGGCAGGTTTTTATGAAAAACTGAAGAGTACTGTTGGCTGTATAGAATGTTTTTAAAAGCTTAGTTAAAGCAGACAAACAGGGGTTTAGGTTTTTGAAATCAACAGATTTCTGTCAGTACATCCTGTTCGCTAGATGTTAGACTCTTCCTCCTTTTGGTGTTTCTTCTGTCTATGCTCTTTTTACTGTGTGGCTTTTGAATCTTGGAATGAGAACACAGGAAGGCCCCATAGTTCATGTTAGCTGGCCTGTGTGACCTCTGCATGGCCTTAGGTGCAGGGAAGTCTGAGCTATTGTACCTGTTAGAGGAAGAAGAATAAGAGTATTTATAGTCCTGAAACAGCTCAAGACTGCCTGTGCATTCACATCCTAGATTGTCTTGTAATGGTCTGCTCTCCTTTGCCTGGGGTTGTACTCAGTGCCCTCAGGGTACATGTTTCTGTTGTGGAGGGAGTCCAGGTGAGAAATTGAGCTTTTTTTTGTGAGCTGTATTAGCAAAGGTTTAACTGGTGTGCTTAAAGGTGGCAGGGGACAGGGCAGCAGCACTTGGCTAAGGGAAGTTAGTGTGTCTTCAGCAAAAGAAGGTTTTACTTTATGGGATCCTACTCTTAGTTCTGGGAAATGGTGGTATCACTATTGCCTTCAAAATGTTGGCTTAAAAGGCAGATATTTTTGGCAAGTGTTGCTTTTAGAAGTCTATCTCAGTACTGCAGAATTAATAAATCCTCAATACGCACATTCCAGGTGGGTTTATACCCTGAGGGGTGATTGCATATGAAGGGCTCCCCTTGTTCAGGTTTCTTGCTGTGTTTGGGCTCTTCATTTAAAAAGATGCTGCAGGTGAGCACACTGAAGAGCAGAGAAGTAACTTTTCCTATCCAGAAAAGATGGATCTGAAAGGATCTCGTATGAACCACAGATGGAGGTGAGCACAGCTTTATGGTTATATGAATGGGAGCAAGAGGATTCAGAGCAAAAAAAGGGGGAGTGAGTCCAACAGTGTATGTGGTGACAGATTGAAGGCTGTGTATTTGTACAGTGTGGCTTGTACAATGCCTCTTGGTAAGTGGGAATAGCTCATTGCAGCCTCCAGATTTCATGTCCACCCTTTTAGCCTCAGTCTGGAGGGAAGTGGAGTGCAGAATGGGTCAGTCTTCAAAATCTTCTTTGGGATTCCTGCTTGAAGGAACTTCCTCTTCCATCAGGTGTGAGTCCTTGGCAGCAGGAGGACTGAGGCCAGCCTGGTGGCCCAGCAGCAGCGGGTGCTCTCCGGAGGGGACTTGCAGCAGCCTTTGCCTCCTGGTCTCTGGCTGAGCTGTGGCCTGGTTGGGCTCTGCCCAGGAACTGAGTCACATGTGATGACTTCAGTTAGTTCAGATCAGCTGGCTGCAGCCTTCCTCTGTTGCTCTTGACACTTTTCACTGCCTGTTGCTCTTCTATTATAAGTTTAGTATAGAATAGACAAGATTATTTCAGTGGGAAGGGACCTCTGATTGTCCAGTCCAACTGCCTGAGCAACTCAGGGCTGACCAGAAGTTAAAACGTATTGTCAAGGACATTGTCCAAATGCCTCTTAAACACTGATGGGTCTGAGGCATTGACCAGCTCTCTAGGAAATCCATTCCATGTGACCACCATCTGGTAAGGAGAGGCTTCCTCATGTCCAGTCTAAACCTCCTTTGATGCATCTTTGAACCATTTCCATGTGTCCTATCCCTGGATGCCAAGGAGACTGGCACCTTCTCCTCCTTAGGAAGCTGCAGAGAGTAGTGAGGTGTCCCCCCAGCCTCCTCTTCTCCAGCTTGGACAAGCCTGAAGTCTGTGGCCTCTCTTCCCAGGCTGTGCCTTCAGCCCTGTCACCAGCTCGGTTGCCCTTCTGAACCCACTGCAAAGGCATTGTTGTCCAGAGGCAGTTCTCCCTAACTGACTCTGGCTGCCCTGCCTACAGCACAGATTTCTGTCCTAGTTTTTGCTTGTTTGATTTCTTCCCTTTTTGGCTGGTCAGTCCTAATTCTCCATCTTGGTCCTGAGATAACTGAGTTTGTTTCTGTGTTCAGTGTTGGAGAGGGTCTGTCCCCATTGTGTGTTGGTGTCCAGAGCCGGTGCTCAGAGTTTGTTCTGGCTTCCAGGGGTGTGGTCCTGCTCCCATAAAAGCCTCATTAGCCATGCTAATGAGATCAGCTGTATTACTTGTGTTCAGTGCTGTGTTAATGTGATCACAGGATCATATAGACAGGAATTGGCCTTTGTCCTGTCACGGGACAGCAGATGGAGTCAGGTCTTTGTGGCAGACCTTACAGACATGTTGACAGTCATTTATTTCAGTGACTGGTGATGGTGCAGTGACACACACTGCCCCATCACAAGAGAATCCAGTGGGGAGTGGGTGAACAGCAGAGTCTGGAAGTATTTTTCTGCATTTATTTTCCACATTTTGAGCAATTTTCCACACTTTTCTGCATTTATTTTCCACATTTTGACAAGAGTGACCCAGTGGTGCTCTACAAGATGGTGCAGCTGGCAGTGAGGTGTGACCATGGAGGATTTGATTTGCGTGTCTTGGGCAGAGACATGGGTGGCTTGGGTGTCCTCTCAGCAGCCTCTACCAGTGCTCTGAGTGATTGTGTGTTTGCTCGTAGGCTGCAAGAAACCCGTGTCTGCATCAGAGAAGGAGATGGAGTGGGCACAGATGGCCTGTCACCGATGTCTGGTTTATCTGGGAGATCTAGGTAAGGACAGCATTGCAACTCAGGGCAGCCTTTAAAATGGCAAAAAGATGCTGCCTGGACCCACCATGTGAGGCTGTTGCTGTTGGTCACCAGCCAAGGTTACTTGCACGTTCTGTTTCCCTCTGATACCTTTGTCACAGACTGCAATAAGCTGAAATCCTCATGCCTGAACTGCTACAAGTTGCAGGAACTTTGTATTTGGTCAGGTAGATGAGGAATTTGCTGCTGCTAAGCAGCTGTGGCCATGGCTGTGAGAGTGGAAGCCTTTGCTTTCATTTACATCGTTTTGAGAGTACGAGGGATTAAAGAGAGTTCAGTTCAGACTGCTTAGTTGTGACTTACAAAGCCACTTCCATCACCACCAGTGGGACTGAAAATCAGATTTAGGCAATATTGCATCAGTCCAGAGTTTTGCCACTGCAAAGCCACATTGTCATTGTGCTTGGCTGTGTGACATCCTTTCTATAGCAGGCATGACTATCCCACAGTCACGACCTCCTGAAGTGTGTGGTAATTGTGTCAGCTTCTTGATTGTGAGCATGTGGGAGTAAAGGCAGGGGGAAAACAGCTGTGTGGAAAGCAGCTCTTGGAAGTGTGGTGCAGGTACACATGTCTGATGCTGCAGCTTCCAAGCTGGTGAAAGCTGTTTGGTATTAGTGTTGCATATGAATCAGCCTAAGAATGGCATTGCAAATAAATGTCTTGAGGGGGTAGTAGGAATGACTTACCTGAGTCGTGGGAGAGAAATGTGCTCACCTTTTCACAGTGCTGTCACCTAAGGTTTCCAAAATGCCTATATTTGTCAAAAAAAAAAAAAAAGGGCGAGTGAGAAAATAAATGAATAAAGTTCAGTCTAGCCACAGGTATTTTATTAAGTCAGCCGACTTGATTTCACACCCTGCTGTACAAGAATATAGTCTGAGGTACAGGAAAATGGAACACAACTCTGAGCTACTTCAGGAATAGATGAATCAGCACTTAGCACATGGAGCAGAAGAACGTTTTCCTTTTGTTCATGTGATGTTGCAAGTGTGGTAGGCTCTGCCCTTGGCTGGAAAGGGCAGGAGTTGTGCTGTGTGGTGTGAGCAGGTGAAAGAAGTGTTTCAGACAAGCCTGGCAAACCCTGTGTGTTTCAGTGTTTGCCAAGAGCAGTTCTTTGGTGGATTTGTTGACTTGGCCAGTATTTCAAGTTTTGTGGTATTTTTAATAGGGAAGCTGCTGCTCTGCAGCAGATGCTGTCTTTGGGTTTGTGATGCATGGTGTGTGGTTTCCTTTCAGCTCGCTATCAGAATGAGCTGGCAGGTGTGGACACGGAGCTGCTGGCTGAGCGATTTTACTATCAAGCCCTTTCTGTTGCACCACAAGTTGGTGAGTAACTTACCATGAATTTATAGTTGTTAAAATAATGTTGCTGTGATATAAGAACAATGTAGTGCTACACTGGTTAGGTTTATATCCTGCAGCTGAGAGAGGACTGCTTTTATCCTCTGGTTAAAGTTGCTTCCTTCAAGAACTTCTTTTGCTGGGCTTTTAGATTTTTTTACTGGATTTTCTCTGTCTCTGCTGGGAGGTTTTCAGGTGATTTTTCTTTTGCTGGCAAACCAAACAGAGGAGCTAAAGCCAGGGTGCTCTTTACCAGTGACCTCACTGTATTCATCTGAGAACCTCTGAGAAGCTCAGACTTCCCTGGCTGTGGTGATGCTGTACCTCTGGGCTAAGCACAGATCCAGCTCTCCATTGCCAGGAGCAGAGCATTATCAGTCACCTTCCCCTTTTATCCATGAAAAAAAAAATCTCATGTGCTGCTTCCTCCTTCAGAAGTGCCTCCTTCTGGGAACACATTTGTGCTGGAGTAGAGGGCGTGTCATACCTTAAAGTGTGTGATTCCAGCCAAATGTTCTATACATGCTGTATTTGCAGAGTTCTCACTATTTGAAAGGCTGGTCCCAAATAAAAGTGGCAGAAGTTTCTGCACTACAGGAGCTGCAGTAGAACTCTCAGATGCTGATAAGATGATGTCTCTGTCAGGGAATATGGAGTCAAGGCCACACCACTCTTAATACAAAGGAGGAGGTGTTGTTTGCTCTTCTGTCTTACATAGATAACTGGCACAAGGTGGGGAGGATCTAAAAGCTCTGTAAAATGGAAAACAGACCCTGCATGGTGGAAGAATTGAGTAGTCCAGACCTTTGTACTACAGCTGTACTACTCTTTGTGTCTCCTGGCTTCCCTCCTCTGTGGAAATGTAGTGAAAGGGAAAGGATCTCCTTTCTAGCCAGGGCCATTGGAGAATTCCAAGTAAATTCCATTACCCCTCTCCTTCCTGACAGGAATGCCCTTCAACCAACTGGGGACATTGGCAGGGAGCAAATACTACAATGTGGAAGCGACCTACTGCTACTTACGCTGGTGAGTTCTTGCAGATCTGCATGTCCTGAGCAGGGAAGCCTTGCACTGCTGCTGTGGGTGCCAGATCCTCTTCTCCTTACTCTGAACTTGGCACTGTTTTTGGCAAATGAATTTTAGGAGAAGGGAAAGAGGTGGGTTTGGTTTGCCCTTGAGTAGGACTGGTAGTAATAAGAGTGAGCCTCGGTCAAACCAAACCAAACCAAATGAAACCAAACCAAACCATTGTGCTACCTGTGCAGGGCTGTACCTGGAGGCCTTTGCCCAAGCTCCTTGTGTGAGCCAGGCTGGAAGTGGGTTGGAGATGCTGAGGGAGGCACCCTGTGGTGTGGGCTGGTGGAATTCCTGGCCTGAAGGCACTGATTTGAGAATATGTGTTAAGCAGGGCAGGCGGAAGCTGTGAGGTAACTGAGGTGCAATTCCCAGCCATTGGTGGGAGTTTAGTGCCCAGCATGTTCAGACCAGCAGCACTGGGTACCTGTCCTCATGCCTTGATTCCTGAATAACTTGCTAGTGAGTTAAAGCCCTAAAGTGTGAGCAGCCTTGTGGAGAAGTAACTTTGGCTGTGTCCTGTTTGGTGCTTTAGCATCCAGTCTGAAGTGTCCTTCGAAGGTGCCTATGGGAACCTGAAGCGGCTGTATGACAAAGCAGCCAAGATGTATCATCAGCTGAAGAAATGTGAAACCAGGAAGCTGTCTCCAAGCAAGAAACGGTAAGAAGGGAAAGAAAAGGAGAGGTGCAGGCTGAGAGTTTGCAGTGCCACTAGTGTATCCTCTGGGTTGAGAGTAATGCCTTTGTGGGAAGTGGAGCTGGTAGATGGGCCATTTCAGCACGGTGACTGTTGCCAAATTTTGAGAGCCCCACTCTAGATCCCAATCTTGCTGTCTTGGGTAATAATTTCAGGAGAAAAGCTAAATGCTAGCCAGGTGTAGAGTTTGCATTGAGAGATTTTTCTCACTCTTCTCTGGAGTTGGGGTTGGGGCATATTGGTGAAAGTTGGCAGTGTATAAACTTTCTTGTTTCTCTCCAGTTTCATCAGAATGGACTTTTCAGTTGAGACCTGATTTACCTAATAGAGCTCTGTCAGGTGCCATGTCTGTGATAGGGCACCTGCTTTACAGTGTTTTCTCCTCCATCTTTTTTAGAGGAAAAGACATTAAGAGGTTGCTGGTGAGCTTCATGTACCTGCAGAGTCTTTTGCAGCCAAAGAGCAGGTAATGTTATGGTAGATTGTATCTTCTATTGACAATTGACAGTAGCAGGCACTCAGAAGGGATGGTTTCTTGTAAGACAACAGTGCCTGTGCTGAGGCTTTTTGCCAAAAGGCCCAAGACTTTGGACTGTCCTTGCATGGAGCATGAAGATTGTGTTTCCAGGGGAGGCTTAAATACCAAAGAGTTAAATACTTGGTGACTTGTCTAAATCAAGCCAGCCTGAGTGCGTGCTGAGCTCCTGGGCCTTGCAGCTGTCTGTGCTGTGCCTTTGGTGTTTGCTTACCCCATGCAATCAGCAGATGCTTTTTCCTGGCAAGTCCTGTACTCGGGCTGATGGGACAGCAAAGAGTTGCTGTCCACACATGTGTGGGGCTGTTCTCTGCACTTAGAGGTCTGTAACCAAACACCTTGGTCGACAAAACACCAAAACCTGATTGTGTTGGAATAAATGGGAAGCTTTGTATAGCTGTGTGATTTTGGGCTTCTAGATTTTTTTATTGGGTTTTCTCTGTCTCTGCTGGGAGGTTTTCAGGTGATTTTAAATAAGTCTCTTACTGCTTGAAACAGAACAGGTGTTTTAAAGGGCTTAGATACAAGCTGCAGTTAAATTCATTGTGGAATGGTTTAGATTGGAAGGGGCCTTTTGGGAGTCTGGTACTTCCCCAAAGTAGTGTTCACTGTGAAAGTAGATGCAGATGTGAAGTTGGATGAGCTTGCTCAGAGTCTTATCACACTGAGTTTTGACTGGATCCAAGGACAGAAATCCCACACTGGATCCCACACTTTCTGGTCCCCTTTCCAGTGTTTGACCACCTTCACCATAGAATTTTTTTCTCCTTGCATCTAATCTCTTTTTTCTTTTCTGTAGTGTGTACCCATAATTTCTCTTCTTTTTGCGGTGCACCATTAAGGAGAGTCTTATTCAGTCCTCTGTAATCACCTATTTGGCATCTGGAAACAGGAGACAACCCCACATGCCTTCTGTATTTCAGGCTGAACAAACTTGATTCTCTTTGCCTCTTCTCATACATCATGTTCTCTGCTCCTCTGCTGGACTAAATCCAGTTTGTCAGTGTGTTTTGTTTGGTGGTTCTTTTGTCCTGTGGACCCAAAGACCAGATACAGTGCTCCAGATGCCACCTTGTGAGTGCATGGAGGAGGAGAACAAGTTCTCAACCTGCTGGCTCTGCCCTTGTTTGTGCAGCCCAGTATGGGATTGGCTTTCCAATACTGCCTTATACTGAGGTGGAACTACAAGGCTCCTCTAATATCCACTCAACATGTATTTAGAACATAAGAAGTTTGGGATTTACTTTAGTTTCCCAAGCACAGTTTCCCCTGAAAAGGCTTTGCTGGAAATTTCACAAATAAGTCTGTTTTGTAACTAGGAGGCTCCTGCAGCCCATTGAATTGATCTCATGGCTTCCTTTGAAGGACTGAACAGCTGTGGAGGATTTTGGAATATTCTGGGCAGCAGGAGAGACGTAGGAGGAGGAAAATCTGAGTCCCATGTGTGTGACAATGTAATACTTTTCACTGAGCAGTGCATCTAGAACTTTTGCTCCCATTAGCATTTAAGTGCCTCATGTATCTTAATGGCCACTGCTGAGCTCCCAGGGGAAAATTAATCTGGTTTTTGGTGACCCATCTCTAAGTATTGTTTTAGTTAAGCAGCTTTAAATAGGAAATCATAATCAGATTAATGTCACTTACTTCCCATAGCTGTTGTTGCCTGCAGTATATTCCCTGGTGCTTCATCCTGCCTAGTGCTAAAGGCCAGCCAGACTGCCAGTTTTGTTTCAGTTTCTGAGCAGACATGCCAGGAGCATAAGTGTTGAGTTAATAATTCTTAATTATTTTTCACTCTTTTTAAGCTCTTTGGATTCTGAGCTGACATCTCTCTGCCAGTCTGTGCTGGAGGATTTCAACCTGTGCTTGTTCTACCTGCCCTCTCCGCCTAACCTGAGCTCAACCAGTGAAGATGAAGAAGAATATGACAGTGGCTATTCCTTCCTTCCTGATCTCCTGATCTTTCGCATGGTGATCATCTGCCTTATGAGCGTTCACAGCCTCAAGAGGGCAGGTAACCAGTGCTTTGTTTGGAAATTTCGTGGTGAGCACCCAGCAGCACAGTTAGGCTGGAGATGCTGTCTGCACTGGTGTAGTGCTCACCTCCTCCATCTCACTGTGCTGTCTGCTTGCAGGTTCCAAGCAGTACAGTGCAGCCATTGCCTTCACACTGGCTCTCTTCTCTCACCTGATAAATCACGTCAATATTCGCCTCCAGGCTGAGCTAGAAGAAGGGGAAAATCCTGTCCCAGCCTTTCAGAGTGATGGCACAGGTAAGAGAACAGAGACAGCAGCACCTGGGTCCCCCAGGTCACCTGCCTACAGGGCTGTCTTTCCCCTGTCTGCCCTTTCTCCCCTGGGCATGGGTTTTGTAGTGCAGAGGTGTTATTGATCTTTTACGTCTGGTCTGGAATCCCCAAGATGGTTGATGTGCTGAGTTGTCTCTTCTTGTATGCTCTTTCTGAGTATCTGAATCACTGCAGGATGGACATGTTTTCTTTATAAGGTGATTGGTTTCTGTATCTCTTGGAAGTTCATTCATCATCTCTTTATCCCAATCTGAGATTTTATTCTCTGTCTCTGTTTGCTGTTGTTTACTGGCTGCTTTCCTCCTCCATGAGGAGATGATCTCAGGTAAAACACCCGGGCTGAGTGAGGCAGAAGGGGCAGAGTGGGGCTGACAGCAACAGGCCCTCTCAGCATACCTCAATTCTGCTCAGGCAAGGGTGACTCTTGAATTGCTGGGGGATTTTTTTGAGCAGTAACTAAAACTACTAAGCCTTTTCCCTAGAAACAGTCCATTGGCAATACCTCACTGAATGCAGGGTGAGGGAGTTTCTGGTAAAAGCAGCAATGAACGACCCCTCCTCTGCAGGTTTTGAAGCTGTCATAGTGATCCAGGGCTGCTAGAAAGGTTCCATGCATGTTGGTCAAGAAAGAGATTGGGTCAGGACAGTGTAGTTACAGAGCCCATGTCCCTGCTCTGCTCAGTGGGTCACTCAGCTCTGACTGTAGAAAGCTGAGGAGGAGCATTAGAATTCACCTGTGTTCTATTCTGGTTTTTCAGCCTTGAGCACTGAGGCTGCCTGGTAGCAGAGTAGCCCAGCTTGGGCAGTAGAAATCCTGGCTTCCCAGGTGCTTTGAGAAAGTGAATCTTTCTTCTGGGGGTGGAAGACGCAGATGGAAGTGATGGCTGAAGTTTGCAGCTCTGGTTTCCTGGATCCAGGGCTGGCCAGCAGCAGCCTGAGGAACACACTGTAACTTTAACTTGCATTCTCCCTGTAAATGCAGATGAGCAGGAGCCACGGGAGGCTGTGAACTCAATTGAGAAGGAAGCTGAAGCTGAGTTGGCCAATCATCAGCCCAGCGAGGAGCAGCGGAAGAACGACTGCAAGAAAAGCAAAAAGTACTCTCGTCTGTCCTGCCTGCGCCGCCGCCGCCACCCCCAGAAGGTGGATGAGAGCGACCTGAGTGAGGGCTTTGACTCTGACTCCAGCCAGAGCTCCATCAAGGGCAGTGATGGCTCAGAGAGTGGTTCAGAGAAGAGCGATGAGGAAGCAGAAGCTGCTTTTGATGTGGAGACAGACTCTGACATGAACAGCCAAGAATCTCGGTCTGACTTGGAGGACATGGAGGATGAACCGGGTGAGGAAGGAGGCAGCCAAGGCAAAAGTGGGCCCAAAGAGGCCCTAAAAAACTGTGTGGATAGCAGTGGGCTGGGGGACTCCAAGAGCCCAAGCATCTCCAAAACTGAAGCTGTAGATCCAGCAGTCAATGGGCCAGCTTCCCTGAGCACTAATGATGCAAGCATAGCCAGTAATCTCCAGGCCATGTCCACCCAGCTGTTCCAGACCAAACGCTGCTTTCGCTTGGCTCCCACGTTCAGCAACATCCTCCTGAAACCCAACAGTGAACCACCTGCCTTGAAGGGTGGGATAGAGAGCAAGCCATGTGTCAATGGAGATCTGGAGAAGCCCAGCTTGGCAGAGCAAGGTAAGGGCCTTGTTATTGCAATTATGTGTAGAAAACTGCAAATTATAGCAGTCTGTTTGCTAAAGTCACCATTTCCCTTGGTGCAAGCTTTCCTTTGGTTAGATTTGGAGGAGCAGGTTGCCCAAGTAGTGGGCAGGCCTTGGGTTGGAGATGTCCTGACGGAGGAGCTTTACTTTTACATTGCCCAGCATGCAGGAGTATGTGCACTGGGCAAAGGAAACACCTGTGGCCAACCAGGGTTACCAGAACAACTACTGTTCTGCAGACTAAATGCTGAGCAGCTGTGATAATCACGGGCTCACAGGCTAGTTTGTTTGGAAGGAACAAACTTCCATGTCATTTCATGCACTCTTGCACTAGGCTGCTCCAACCTGACCTTAAACACTTCAGGGATGGGGCAGCCACAGCTTCTCTTGGCAACCTGTACCAGAGCTTCACCACCCTCACAGGGAGCAATTTCTTCCTAATATCACATTTAAATTTGCCTTCCTTCAGTTTAAAACCATTCCCCTTTGTCCCATTCAGGACTTTGTGAAAGTCCCTCACCCTTCTGGAGCCCCTTTAGGCAGTGGAAGGGGCTCTGAGGTCCCCCTGGAGCCTTTACTTCTCGAAGCTGAACACCCCCAGCTCTCCCAGCCTGTCTCCAGAGCAGAGGGGTTGCAGCCCCTGGATCATCTCCGTGGCCTCCCCTGGACTCACTCCAGCAGCTCCTTGTCCTCCCTGTGCTGGGGACCCAGAGCTGGAGGCAGCTCTGCAGGGGAGGGTCTCAGCAGAGCAGAGGGGCAGAATTTCCCCTTCACACGCTGCCCACGCTGTTGGGGACGAGCCCAGGACAGTGTTGGCTTTCTGGGCCCCCAGTGCACGTTGCCACGGCATGCTGAGCTTCTTGTCAACCCATCCCCCAAATCCTTCTCAGGGCTGCTCTCCATCCATTCTTCCCGTCTGTTTGCGTTTCGGGTTGCCCCAGTGCAGGTGGAGCACCTGCCCTTGGCCTCGCTGAACCTCCTGGGCTTGGCACCGACCCGCCTGCCCAGCCCGTCCCAGTGGGGGTGCCAGGAGCCCCTTCCTTCCCCAGCCCTGCCCTGCGCAGCCCAGCAGCGCATGCAGCCAGGCTGCTCCTGCCCACTCACCCAGGGGCCCAGAGGGGCTCAGGGACACTTNGGACGAGCCCAGGACAGTGTTGGCTTTCTGGGCCCCCAGTGCACGTTGCCACGGCATGCTGAGCTTCTTGTCAACCCATCCCCCAAATCCTTCTCTGGGCTGCTCTCCATCCATTCTCTCCCAGCCTGCGTTTGTACTTGGGGGTGCCTCAATACAGGTGCAACATTTCTCCTTGCCTTTGCCATTCCTTCTGGGGTTGGCACAGACCCAGCTTTCCAGCCTGTCCAGGTTCCTCTGATGCCATCCCTTCCCTCCAGTGTGTGACCCCACCACACAGCTCAGTGTTGTCAGCAAGCTGGCTGAGGGTGTACTTGATCTCAGTGTCTGACACCAGCAAAGGTGTTAAAAAGTGCTGGTCCCAACCCCTGAGGATGCCCCTTGTCACTGCTCTCCACTTGGACATTGAGCTGTTGGCTGCAGCTCTTTAACCATGACTATCCAGCCAAGTTGTCATCGACTAAGTGGTTTATCCATCAAATCCATGTCTGTCCAGTTAAGAAACAAGAATGTTGTGCAGGACAGTGTCAAATGCTCTGCATAAATCCAGGTGGATGAGGTCAGTTGCTCTTCCCTCATCCTCCACTGCTGTAACCCCATCGTAGAAGGTAAATGAATTTTTCAGGCATGAATTGCTATAGTGAAGCCATTTTGGCTCCAGAGGATGATTCCAGCAGGTATTAAAAATTGCATCTTCCCTTTTCCCTTTGTGAAATATCTAATCAGACACTTACTATTGCTTCTGGTGTCAAGGCAGATGAGGGACAGGAAGTTTTCCATGAGATGACAGATTATCAGCCCAATGCTCACGTAGAAGTTTGTGTGGGCGATGTGACTCAGGTGCATGTGAGAGGTGTTGAGGGCCTCTCTGTGACCCCCCAGATGTGCCTCACTGACTGTTGCATGCTGAACTCCTGGGAGCTGCACAGCAGGTGGAGCTGCTGTGTCTCCTTCACCACTCAGCTTACACAGCTGAGTGATGTTCTGGGCAAAAACAGCTGGAAAGGGAGATCTGATAGACTACAGGGAATTGTTTGTGTTCCACATAAAACTACTTGGGCCTGTTCAGTCTTGTTTTTCATTCCTCCCAACTTCCCTGGAGCAAGGAAACATTCTACATCCTGCTGCCAAATCCAGCTGGCTACAGTACTGGCAAAATTCAGGTTTTGCCTGGGCCAGCATTTTAAGGCACAGTATTAGATCATGTTAGTGTTGACTGGCTCGTGACACTGCTCCATGGCCACATGAAAGAGATGGGTGTTAAAGGAAGAAACAAATGGGCTTTGGTCTGTTTAACCTTTCCCTCAGTGGTTATGTCGCTGTTTCAGCTCCAGGAATGTGTGACCACAATACCTTTACGGGTGTAGAAAATGAGAGATGGAATGAGTTCACTGTGTACTTTTTTGCTTTGGGCTCTCCTCATGTGTGCTGTATCCAAACTGCTTTTTCATGGTGTAACACTGTCAGTGGTGGGCTCTGAATAAATCACTCCTTGTGATTCTGAGGGTTTGTGGAATGCCCATAGCTGTGCTCATAGGAAACAATGGTAGCACTGGAAATGAGGGTCTGTAAAACGTGTGGGTGATTCCCACACTGACCTCAGGTCACTTGTGTCACACGAGATTCCACTGGCAATGCCTTTGAGATCCTCAGCTCTGGAGAGATAGAAGAGTGCAAAGGATATGTTCAATATTTAAAATTCTCTGACTCACAGGACAGCCCTGCCATTTCCTGCTCTTGCCTGGCTCGAAGCTGGGAGCATGTTGGCCTCAGGGCTCAGTTCCCTGCAGGAACTGCTCTGGTCCTCGTGCTGGCATGTGCTGCCCCACTCTGTCAGCATGGAGGCTGCTGCAGAGGTTAGGCATTGGTCAAACCTTCACAGGGAGATTTTAACCCTCTTATCCCAAGGAAGAAGGAGATGCAGGGGTGATACACTCTAGAGACTGCTTTTGTGAGGATGTGTGGAGGCACCTAGTATTTCAACTCTGCTATTGCCAGCCCAGTTCTGTTCTGATACCAGCAGGGCTTGGCATCTCAGGGGGTTTAACAGCTGCCATCTTGTGCTTGCCTTTGTTTTCCAGATGATGTGTCTGACTCAGAAGAAAGTATTTCAAGTAACAAATCCTGCAGAAATGAGCGATCCCTTCAGGAGAAGTTGGAGATTGTGACCAATGAAGGGCTGCTGCTTACTGTCAAGGTGTTCCTGGACTGGCTGAGGACAAACACAGACCTCATCATTATGTGTGCTCAGGTGGGGATGGTGTCAGGGCTCTCTACAAGGTTGTGTCAGCTTCCCTGAGGTGGTTGCAGCCACGGCCCCAATCCTGAGCAGAGGGTGATGTTATGTCCCCCAGCAGCTGAATTAAGCTAATCTGAGCCTAAAAAGGATGGTGATATTTACTCTTCATAAAATATTCTGAGTGTTGTGGGATACTGGAAGGCCTAAGCTGCCTAGTTGTTGTATGCATCTGTCATGACATTTTCTATGACCTTTTGTGTTCTGTTCCTGCAGAGCTCTCAGAGCCTGTGGAACAGGCTGTCTGTACTCCTGAACCTTCTGCCTTCAGCTGCAGACCTGCAGGAATCAGGTACTGGAGAAAGAAGTGGAAATGTCATGTTTCACCAAGCCTAGTCATCAGTAATTCCCAGGGTGTGTGAGAACTTAGGGAGGGAGATTTCCAAGTAGCAGTTTTTATAAGCACAATAGGAAGTAAAACGTGCATGTGTTGTTTTTTTTTGTTTAAACACCATTCCAGTTAAATACTGTCCCATAGTCTTTCAAATCATGTAATCATAGAACATCCTGAGTTGGAAGAAACCCCTCACCTTGCTCCAGGATTGAGTTCAACTCTGGTCCTGACAGGACAACCCCAAAAATCATACACAAAAATGCATTAATGTTGCTGGCAGCATACTGAAACACTGGCACCAGCATGTGAGAATCCATGTGTGGCCAACAGGAGTGAAATAGCAGGAGTAAGGCTGTGATTTTGCCATGGTAATCCTGGAAAATAGTTTTGGAGCTCAAACTGCTCATAATGTGCTCTCTTCAGGGCTGAGCCTGAAGTTCCCAATGTTTTATGAGAAGGGGAGTTTAAACACAGTTGCTCATTAGTTGGAATAGGTGGGGAAAGCTGTCCCTCCAAACAGGGGATTTCCCAGAATCCCCTGACAGATTGTTTGGGAGAGTTGCTCTTTATATTGTGAGTGTTCTTGTGGTTCCTCTTTAAGCTGGTGCTCACAGAACATGTTTCATTAACACCTCTGCCGGTGATCATTATAGATCATGTGCCTTAAAGCAGTTCTCCTCTTAGCCCCACCATCAGTTGTTTTGCTCTCCTTCTTGTCCCTCCTCTCCAGGGCTGGCCCTGTGTGATGAAGTCAAAGACATCCTGAGTGATGCTGAGCTCCCAGACCTGAAGGCCAACCTGCTGCTCCCGGAAGATGTGGCCCTGCGCAATCTCCCCCCTCTGAAAAATGCACACAAGAGGTTTAACTTCGAGCAGGATCGGCCCATTTTCTCAGCAGTTGAGGAGGTGAGTTGGGATAAATCCTGAAAAAAATCAGATTTGGATTCTTGTGATATGTGGTTCCTTTTCCTAGCACTGAAGGCTTGAGCAGAGGTTTCTGGAGCAGGAGTGGCAGCGTGCTGCTGTTTCCTAAGATTTCCTTGGGTTGGGGAAGCCCCAGACTGCTGGCACCCTTGAACCTTCTGGCCAGCTGCAGCCTTTCCTGCAGTCTCTGACTTCAGAAGAGATCAGAATCATCCACCAGAACTGGGCATTTAATACTGGGTCCTGCCTTTTCCAAAAGTGTGAGCTGCAGGTGGGCGCTGCCTCAGGCCACACCGTGGCTGTGGTGGCTGGTTGGTGACTGCTGCTGCTTCCTTGCAGTCTGTCGTGCGGATCTGCTGCATTCGGAGCTTCGGCCACTTCATTACCCACTTGCAAGGCAGCATCCTGCAGTTCAACTCAGAGCTTGGGATCTTCATCAGCATAGCACAGTCAGAGCAAGACAGCTTGTTGCACCAGGCCCAGGCTCAGTTTCACATGGTGAGTTCGTAGAGGTGAATGAATTCTCTGTATTCTCTGTTTCCTGTTGCTTACTATTAGGTCGTAATTATAATCACAGATATCTGGGAGGAGATGAAAGTTCTGCTCCTTAAAGCCATTCCAGTGTCCCCTTTTCACTCTGGAAGTGTATGCTATGTCAGCTGGTGTGTTTCCTGCTAACTGATATGGAAGTTTGGTTTTGCAACTAGGCTGCAGAGGAAGCTCGTCGGAACAGGCTCATGAGAGACATGGCTCAGCTTCGTCTGCAGGTAGGAGACACCAGTTCCAGCCTGAAAACCAGCAGGGTAGTGGCTGGAATGTCAGAACCTGGGAAGGGAAGGGGGAACTCTGCTCCTGTTCCACACAGAGGCAGTAAGTCCATCCTGCATAGATGGAAGTGTAGAGGATCTCAGGCTGGAAGGGATTCCATAAGAATCACAGAGTCCAAGTCCCTGCTCCTCACAGGGCTACTTTAAACTGAATGCCCAAGGGTGTTCAGCCACTCCTTGAGCTCTGGCAGGCTTGGCGTGACAGCCACTTTCCTGGGGAGCTTCTTCCCCCTCTGAGGGAAGAACCTTTTCCTAATGTTCAGCCTGAAGTTGCCCTGATGCAGCAATGAAGCTAGAAATTAAATGTACCATTTCCTCATGTCCCATTGCTAGTCACTAAAGAGAGGAAGTCAGCATCTCCTGCTTGCTGACCCTCTCAAGGAGGGTTTAGGCTGTGATGGGGCAGTCACCCTCAGCCTTCTCTTTCCCAAGCTGAGCAAACTGACTGACCTCAGCCACATGAGGCCTTTCTCCATCCTGGTCATCCTCCTCTGGACACTGTCTGATATTTCAATGCCCCTCTTACATCAAGGTGCCCAAACTGTTCACAGTACTCGAGGTGAGGCTGCACTGGGTAGTGCAGAGTGAGATCCTCTTCTCTTGCTGACTCTCTGCTGCATGCAGCCCTCTAGTTCTATGTGCTTGGAGGTTGGAAGGGCCTGGTGGAGCTTTGCAGGGCAAGTCTTGCCCTGTTTGATGTGTGTTTCAGAATAAATGTGAAGTGAGTGTCTTTGCACGTGTGTTTTCAGCTGGAGGTGTCTCAGCTGGAGGGAAGTCTCCAGCAGCCCAAGGCACAGTCAGCCATGTCTCCTTACCTTGTTCCGGACACCCAGGCCCTCTGCCAGCACCTGGCTCTTGTCAAGCAGCTGGCCACCAGCGGGAGGTTCATAATCATCATCCCTCGAACAGGTATGGGGACTCCACAGCAGGTAACTGGCAGTGGCTGCCTGCCCCTGTCCCTTCTGTGCTAGGAGCAGGCCCCAGACGCCTGGGTGGTGGCTTTCCCTCCTCCTGCTCTTATCCTTCACTTCATCTGGAACAGTTGCAACACCCTTTTGATGTGTTCTTTTGGAGCCTGTTCTGTGTGTGGCCCATGCTTGAGATTTTGACAGTGTGTCAGAAGAGCTGAGAGGAGAGAGGTTCTGTTCCCTCCGTGCCTCTCCGGTGGCAGCTGTGCATTGGGCAGTGTTCTGTGGAATGGGGAGTGCTTGATGCCTCTGGATTGGTTTGCAGAAGTAGAACTGTAAACAAGATGGTTTTTGTTCTTTGGTTTTTTTCCTCCTGTTAGTTATCGATGGCCTAGACTTCCTGAAAAAGGAGAACGCCGGTGCTAGGGACAGCATTCGGTATCTGGAGGCAGAATTTAAAAAGGGAAACAGGTGAGAGCAGGAGAGGGGTGGGTTTCCCCTTGTTTTTGGAAGGGGTGGGCTTTGGGTGGGAGCAGGCTGTGGATCCCTTGAAGCAGAAGGAGGAGTGGGCCAAGGAAAAGCCAGACTTCAGGAATGGGAAGGCAGTGAAGGAGCAGATTCAGCAGCTGGTTCTTCAGATGTGCTGGTAGTTGCTGCTCAGCTGCGAAGTACAGCTGCTTCTGAGCAATGGTGGAGTTGCATCTCTGTTGCTGTATAAACTGGAGCAGTGACCTTTGCTACTGCACTGAGAGTGCTGGAAGAGCTGGATTGTGCCCGGGTGCTCTGCAGAAACACAGCTGAAAGGACAAACTGCATCTCTGGGGTCAGTGTCAGGGCTGGTGGGCTTGAGACGTGGTGCTGAGAGCACCATGTGGGAATGGTGGTGAGGCAGGGAGGTGATCAAAGCGATTCACAGAGGATTCCTTGCATGGACCTTTGGGTGTTAGGTTTGGGTTGGTGGAAGCCCTGCAGCAGCCAGAGGAGCTGCTGTGGAGCACTGACTTTAGCCTGTGTGATGGTCTCCATATGAGCTCAGAGACTCTGCTTTCTCCTTAGGTACATTCGTTGCCAGAAGGATGTTGGGAAGAGCTTTGAGAGGCATAAGTTGAAGAGACAAGATTTAGATGCCTGGTAAGATTCAACATCTGAAGGTGTCTGAGCCTGGTTCGCAGCAGGCAGGTGGCTTTGGGGAGAGGTGTTAGCACTGGGATCCATTGCAGAGCTTGTTCTATGTGTGAGTAATGATGACATTCCTTGGAGATAAGGACACACACCTGTGCATGTTACACAAAGCACTCTGTGCTCAGAAAGGTCTCAGAAAAGTCCTTAATGGGAATATGAAAGCAGCCCTGCTTCCCATTTATTGTCCTGAGCAGATGTGGTCTTTGTGCTGACCTTCCCCTCTGTTTCTCTGTTCTGTCAGGAATCTCTATAAAATACTGGACAGCTGCAAACAACTGACAGTGTCCCAGGGCAGCGGAGAGGACGACACCACAGGAATGGTCACCATCATCACGGGCTTCCAGCTGGAGGACCCGAGCTCCTTCTCAGTGCCCATGCAGGTCAGTAGCTCTTGTCTGGCTGAGCTGAGCCATTCTGCCTCCTAGCAAGGATATAACATGATCAATTGGCAAGAGATTTTTTTAAAATGTCTTTTTGCTTTGGCTAATAACTGGCCTGATTTCCCCAAAGTTACTTTATTTGTTGAGATTCCTTATTCCCTCAAGGCTTCGTTATTTTGTGATACAGAGTATTGTGGGGCAGATGAGAGAATTTAATTTCGTGTCTGTGCAAGCCTCTTGTACCAGAGCAATGAAAATTGGGAGGATTTGGCCTTCCAGCTGTGCCAGGCTGCTGGAGAGTCCCCAGGCTGGGAATGGCAGCTGTCTTGACAGGGCAAGTTAAAATTTAACCATCTGTTTTGTCTGTGTTTGCTTGCAGTCTGCCATCCAGGCAGCCGCCAATGCCAGCATAGAGATAAAAAATGTTCTGGAGTTCTACAAGCAGTGGAAAGAGATGGGCTGATGGTCAGAAAGGCATCGGGTTGGTGAACCTTTCTCTCCCCCTCTCGCAACGTGCAGCGTCTGAACGAAGGAAACAACAATCTGGGCGACACTTACGACACGAAGAAGCAGCAGCAGCAGCAGCAACAGCATCAAAAATACCTACCCAAACAAATTAAAAAAAAAAATCCAAAGTGGGCACGCACACTGACACCCTCCACCTGCATCCTGACCAGACGGCTGTACAGCTCTGATGGCGCCAACTGCTCTGAGAGAGGCCCCTCGGTATGGCCGGGGCAGAGCTCTGCCCTTCTCCCAGTCGGCAGAGATGGGCAAGAGACAGGCAGTCCTTCATCCCCCTCCTTCCTCCCAAAGCTTGCTTGGCCAGCAGAAGCAGGCTGGTGGTTCAAAGCGTGGACTTCACTTCAGCAAAACCAAACCAGTGCAGCAGAAACGGAACCCTCCGGCTTGGGAAAGAAGATCCAAAGAGTGTTTTGCTCTTGTTTGGCAATCTGGGGACAGGAAAGTGGATAGTATTTCTTCCCCCCCGCCCCCCTTTTGAATTAATTATTTTTCAAGGGTTTTTTTCTTTTTAATTTTTAGTTTTTATATATATAAATAATATTAAAAAAAAAGAAAAAATAGGAGTTCCTTTGGGGTTTTGGATGCTCTTCCAACATCAGAAAGAAAAGGAAACACTCTATTTAAAAGGGGGGGGAAAGCTCTTAATATAATTTTTTTTGTTGTAGAACAAGCATATTTATTTCCTTTCCCAGGCCCCCATGGAGCGGGCTCAGTGCAAAGGGATGTTGGCCTGTGAGGAGGGAGCAGCCTTGTGTTGCACTCCACTCTCCCTGGGAGCTGCACGCTCCACCATGCTGCTCCAGGGATGCCACAGGACTCTGCCTCCATCCCCAGTTTCTCCCACTATGCATTAGACCTTGGAGAAAAGGAGGAATCTGGCAGAACTGCTGAATGAGAGAGAAGAGCCGGGTGGGATTTCTACACCATTAAGGCTCAGATGCTTGGCTTGAGCACTGCAACACTGGGATGGAGCAGATGTCTCCAAAGGACCCAAAGCCTCTTTTTCATCTTTTCTTTTTTTCCCTTTTTTTCCCCACTAAATCTTTCAATAGGGTGTGGAGGAGGAAGGAGAATCTCAAAGCCATTATCTTCTGCTGGTTGTTCAGTGCACCACTGCTGCAATGCTGTGCTAGAGATGGTTACAGAGCTGGAGCGTTTGTGTCCCCCATTCTCGCGTCCTGGGCTGGCAGAGGCTGTCCAGGAGCTCCGAGCTCACGGACTGTTCCGTGCTTTTGGCATCCCAGACAGGAGGGCTGGTGCTACCTGGGCAGGTGCTGGAAGAGCTGGTTTCCCAGGTGAGCTGGGAGGGATCCTGCAGAGCTCCATCCTGGCAGCATCTCAGGCAGCCTGCGTCTGACACGCCGTCACTTGGCCGCTGCTCGGACAGGAAGCTGCAGGTTGCTCGCAGGGCAGCAGGAGAGGGGCTGGGCAGTCTCTTCATGCTCCCTCTTGCCTCTTTGTGCCCACGGAACAGATGTCTCCATCCACATGAACCAGCAGCAGCTATGCAAGTACAAACCACTGGAGTCTTCTGTGTTCTCACATGGGCCAGCCAGAAACTGCTACAGCCAAGAGAGCATAACATGAGAAGCTGAGTCACATACTCCACTCTGTGCAGGCTCTGAGCATGGTGTGTTGTACTGCAGGATGTTCCTTGTTTTCAGGTAAAAACTAAAAATACCAGCACAAGTACCAGAGGATTCCTTTCTCTTCCAGTTCCAGCTCCTTTACAGCACAGCAGAGGGAAATGCCAACCTCCATGGTACAGCTGGTCCATCCTGGAGGCTGACAGGCTGGCTGTGAGGGACGGGGGCTTCCCTGCAGGATCTTCCCTTTTACAGCTTCTCCTGAAACTCACAGTACTCTGCTTGGCTAAGCCAAGAGAAGGTCATTTGCAGGACAGCAGGTCAGAGACTCTGGCACACCTTGGGGATTCTTGGAGATCTGAGATGGGTTGTGAAGCTCCCAGTCACTCTTTCCTCCAGTGGTTTTATTTGAAATAATTTGTTTGTGTAGCTCATTACTTCTGTCTGATGGGGTGGAAAAAGAGAAGGGAATCTCCTTGTGGGACTGTTCTTGAGGTGAAATCCTCCTTGTCTGGTGGGGGGCACAGAGAGTTGATGTGCTCTGCTTTTTCCTGCTGCTGAAGAAACCCCCCCAGTCCTGTCTGCCAAGCAAGCAGAGGAGTCTGGAGGTCACTGAGGCTGAGCTCGGTGTGTTTGTCCTGAGAGCCTCAGTGTCACCCTTATGGCTGCACTTGGGGTTGGTGAAGAGAAGCATTGCTGGGCTATGGTCAAAGCAGTGAGGAGCTGGGAGCAGTCTTCAGCTTCACCCCGGGTCGAGCATTCCTTAGGTCCTGGCTGGATCTTGAGGGGAGAGAAGAGCAGTACAGGTAAAGCAGCAGGCCGGGGGGAATTCCTGTCTCACTGGTGGCAAGTGTTTCAGTTGATGGCAGATGTTTTCAGTTCTTGCAGCTCCCACAGCCCTGCAGGGTGCAGCTGGGAGCCAAGTGCTGCACAGTTGGGCAGGCTGAGGAGGAGCTGTGTTCTGAGTCACTGAGGCCTTGTGTGGGCAAGGGATCCAGTTTAAGAGCAAAAGTAAAGAAATTAATTTTCTATAACCAGGGGCAGTGGAGCTGCTGTGAACCCACATGGGTTCACATGGCAACAGCAGGGGCTGCTCACAGCTACCCCTCAGTCACTGCTCTGGTCCCCTGAGGGGTTGGTTTAATATTCCAAAATTTTGCATATGTGAGAAAGAAGCCCTCAGCATGCAATGGGGAATCCGGATTATCCTCATGACACCTTCCACTCTGGGCTGGATGGGGAGGGATTGTGACCTTTAAAAAGGCCACCTGAAGGGTCCCTGTGCTACCCTTTTCCTATCCAGAGCACTGTGCTTGAGGACCTGGTGAATGGTTTTTGGATTTGCATCCCCAGTCAGAGATGCCAAGAGCTGAAAAACTGGGAGGCTTCACAGTGTGAGAGCAGTGTGGCTGCAGGGCAGCCTTGGGGAGATGGCATGCAGTGTCCTCCAGCAAGCCTGGCCTTCTGAGGGGGCTCAACATATCATCCCCTGGACTGGGGTGAAGGAAGTCACTTCTCTGCCCCCATCCCAACACTCAGGATGAGCTGGAGTTTCCTCCTTGAACAGAACTGCTCTGTCCAAGGGTCACTGCATCTCTCCCCTGGCATGGTGGCTTGCTGACATGGAATGGGTCTTGGGGTGGAAGCAAAGGGAAGGCTCTGTGGAAGGCTCTGTGCAGCCTGTGGCTGCTGTGGTGCTGCAGTGGGGGCTCCCTGAGAGCCCCCCACCCTTGTCCAAGCCAGAACCGTGAGCTGCCTCGTCAGGAGAGCATCGGGCAGGATGGAGAGGGCAGGCTCCAGCCGTGGCTCTTCCTGCAGTGCTGCTCCTGCACCAGCCACAGGCTTGCCCTGGAGCAGCTGTGAGCCAGTCAAGTAGTGCCTGCTGTGCTGGGAAGGAGAGCAAACAGAAAAACCATCTTGTGGGCTGAAAACAAGAGTTTTCATGTGTTCTGGTGTGTTTCTTGGGTTTGTTTTTTCTCTTCCTTACCACCCTGTTGAGTGGCTCGGGGTTTTTGGGGTGACCCCATGCTGGGAGGACACAGGTCTGTGGTGGCTGAGGCTGGCTGGGCTGTCCCCAAACCGTGGTGGACACAGTCGCTGGTGCTTGTTGGGCTTCTGCTCCATGGTTTCATGGGCTGTTCCAAGCAGGAACATCCTCTGCTCCCATCCTTGCTTGGCTTGAGGCCACCCGCAATGCCTCGGATTTTGTCTCGCATCTTCAATTTAGGGCTCTTTTCCTTCTTGGTGTGCAGCAGGGCTGGCCAGGGCGTGGGCAGGGAGGGCTGGCACAGGGGCCGTGCTGCTGGCCTTGCCGCTCGCAGTGAGGGGATGTAGGTTCGAGGCGAGGGACAATCAACCTCTCCTCAGCTCTCGTGTGGCACACGGGCTTGCAGAGCCAGGGAGGATCGAGGGGACATGGGGCCCAGCTGGGTGAGCAGGGGCTGGGGCTCCCAGCATATGTCTGACCATGGTCTGAGCACAGCAACTGGCTTAATAAAATACCAGATGTTTGTACTTTGTGTCCTGTGGTCATTCCCAGCCCATCCCACCTTTCCTGTGCAGCCTGGGGGCCGAGTGCATTTTCCATCTGTAAATCCACCCCATATGCTTTGCTGACCAGACTTTCCAGTAAAGAAGTGCAGGTGGGTCCTTCCTCCCTGTGATGGGAGTAGCATTTCCCTTTCTGCCTTTGTGATTTGGGATGACTTCATCCTCTTGGTAGGACTCTGCTGCCACAGGAGCACCCCTGACCCTGCACGAGGACCTGGCTCAGCTCACTGGGGCCTTTGCAGCTCACTTTTAATGGGGGAAAGGGGGTGAAGAAGCAGAAGACAGAAGCAGGAGACAGGGAAGTGTAAATTTTTAAAATGTGTGATTTTCCAGTGTCCCTTCAAGGTGCTGGGAGAGAGTGGGCTGGGGGCTTCAGGCTGGAAATTGGGCTGTGTGAGGGTCCCACCATGCCCTGGTGCCATGGGTAGCTGAGGGGCAGGGAGAGAAAAATAGATCAGTAATCCTGCCCTGAATTCATTGCTATCAGAGCACCCTGATCTGCTTGCCCTGGTGGGAGCCCCAAGCTGGGCACTGCCATGAATTCTCTCTCCCTCTTGGGTTCTTTGGAGGCTGCACCAGCGGGATGGGCAGAGGGGGAGATAAAAGGTGAATCCAGCTTCAGTCCCCAGAAGGGAAACGGGCTGGGGGTGAGACTGCCCTGTCCAAGGCTGAGCTGGCAGAAAGGGACTATCACTGCTGACTCCATCCCCTTGAGCAGGGCTGGGAATGCTTTTTCCTGCTTGAAAGGGCCGTGCCAAGAGGCTGCCAACCCCGTAACAAACCCTGAGCCTCCATCACTGCTCCGTGCAGGCCGGTGTTGCTGTGGGGGGTCCACGGGTCGGGGTTTGTCCCACAGTCCTTGCATGGGAACAGGCTGAGGTGAAACAAGCAGGAAAAGGCCACAACTCTGGTCAGCTCCTGGTCCTGCTCGTTGTAGAGCTGAATCCTCCAGGACCCCAGGAGCTGCTGTCTCTCCAGCCTGTTTCTCAGTGCCTGTTCCCCTCTTTTTCTGTGCCTCTGCTTCCCACTTCTGGTACAGACATGTCATTCCCCTGCCTTGAACATCTCCCTGCCTGGCTTTGCTGTGCCTTGTGGGGTGTCTTGGAGAGACTGCTCAGCACCAGGGTCTGCATCCCAGTGTGGAGACCCCAAACCTGCCTCTGGCCTCCTGCCTGCTCCCCTGGGGACAAGCGACTTCCCTTGGCTGGGAGGCAACAGAGCCCTGGTGAGGAGCAGCGTGCACATCAGGCTCTTTGGGACAGGCATATGGGGTTTTTGAGCTGCTCGTGCTGTACCCAACACTCAACACGATTCCTCTGGGGATCAATAAATCCCCAAAGATCAGGGTTTTGGAAAGCATCCTTCCTGTTCCCAGCTCAGTCCTCAGTTCCCCGAGCTCCATCCAGCTGCAGCATGGACCCATGGGCTAAGCCAGAGTCACTGCCAACCCTCTTGCAGGTCTGTTTGGTTTCCCCAACCTTGATTTCTCCACCTCTTCCCTCCCAGAGCTCCTCTGGTGGGACCCCACAGTGTGACCCAGTGGGTGTTTGTGTGGACCTGCCTTTGTCACCTCCCCTGGCTCTCCCAGCGTGGTGGCATTTAAAGCCTGGTGCCCAGAACTGCCCTGCAGTGGCCCCTGCAGCTGCAGGCTCCCGTGTGCCCCCATACACAGCAAGGGGTCGTGTCTGCAGTGGGAGTTTGGGGGATCTCGGCCAAAGCCAGGCTGTGCCAGGGTCGGTGGTTGTGCAGCACAAAGCTGCCTTTGAGCCCCTCTGGTGAGGGGGAGCCCCAGAACGGAGCCAGGGCAGGGGCAGCACCAGGACCCCTGGCCCAAGGCAGTGCTGAGGAGGGGGCTCTGCAGGGCCAGCACTCCTCTGCCTCCTGCTCACTGCAGAGCAGCAGGAGGTTTGTCCAGATACTTTCAGATCGTTTGGGGTTTTCCTTCCTCTAGACCACTGTGTGGGTTTTGGGCTGAGTGGGATGTGTATAGCATCTCTCATGCTGCTGAGCTGCTCTCCCTTGCCCCAGTTTGCCCAGCTGCCCAGCTCAGTGTCCTTCATCCAGCCCTGCCTAACAGCCTGGCTGGGCTGGGGCTTGCAGGGGCTGCAGGGTGCCTCTGCAGGCTTGTTCTGCCCTGCTGCTCCTGAGCCTGAACCTGCTGGGGACACGAAGCAGGATCTCATTCTCTCCTGCAGGGCCCTGCACTGCCAGCCCCCACCCCTGACCCTAATGTGCCTTCCCATTCTGGGCTGGGGTCGCGATCCTGTCCCGTTTGTGGCTCCCTGGAGAGCCAAACAGAAAGCAGGCTTTGCTGCACACAACCTGGGCAAAAGCTGGAGCCTTCCTGGGTGTGTCTGCCCTGGCTCCTGCAGCCACAACCCCCATCCCTCAGTGGGCTTGGTGCTGAAGACCCAACCCCTCTCTCAGCCTGAGTGCAAGGCCCCACCGTGCTGCTCAGGTCTTCAGGGTCCACCAAGGGCCTGGGTTCTTCTGGCTGGGCTAGGGGGAGGCTCTGCCCCCACGTTTCTTCTCCCAATTCTCTCATCCGAGGTGGGAAATCACCTGGACTCCCCATGAAACCTTGTTTCAGCTGGGAGATACTCCCAGCCCACCCTGCCTCAGTTTCCCCACCCACCACAATCCCAAAGCAGCTCTTGGGCTGTCCTGCTCCCTCTGGGGATGTCCCCTGCTGTCCCCACAGATCTTCTGGGTTGATGGGATCATGTTGGGGTACTGCGACCCCAAGAGCTCAGCCTTGGCTGTGTCCTCAGCTCCTTCCAGATGATGAAAGAGACAGTCCTGGACAATTCCTACTGACCAGGTGGGGATGGGGACAAGGATGGAGATGAGAATGGGAATAGGAATGGTGATGGGAATGGGGGTAGGGATGGGGAAGAGAAGAGGATGGAGATGGGGACAAAGAAAGGCTGGCAATGGGAATAGGGATGGGATTAGGGACAGGGCCTGGGACAGAGACAGGGACAGGGGTAAGGAGGGGAAGGAGACAAGGATGGGGATGGGGACAGGGACAGAGCTCACCTTCAGAACATGCTGTGCCAGCAGGAATTCATGTGGTGCTGCCTGGTGCTCTGATCCTCCCTGGGGATTTGCTGGCCCCAGCACTGCTCATGTGCCTGCTGCTTGGCTGCCCCTGCCCTCTGCCCCCAGCTGTGCCCACCTCTTCATGCCCGGTGCCTGCCCTCCACATCTGCTGCATCTGGGACCGAGGGGCTCGGCAGAGGTGGGCTGGCAGGGGTGGGCTGGCCCAGGGAGCTGCAGGCCCCTGGCACCGTGTCTGCCACAAGGCTGCGTGTTTGATGCCAGACTCCTGGGTCAGCCACGTCTGGCACCGCTGCTTTGGCCCTGTGGCTATTTTGAACTCCTTCATCTGCACTGGCCTCTCTTGCTATTCCCAGGATGTTTGGGATAAGGGAACTGGTGGTGGAAGCTTTCTCCTTCTCAGCTTTTTGTTCCTGTTGGTGATTCTCCCTGCTCAGGCCAAAAGCCAAGGTTTTTGTGGGGTCCTTGCTGTGGGAGCTGACAGGGGTCTGTGCCCCCCCACCCGTTCCCCCTTCACAACTCCCCCAAGCTGGAGCATCCCCAGCTGAGCAGGATGCTGCAGACTTTATGTGCCCCTTCCTCTACAACAACATCCTGCTCTTCTGCCCGGTGAGTCAGGGTGACCCAGGGCAAGGCCAGGTGTCCCCACCTGGGGGTCCTGGGGTGCTCCAGAGGGCTTCCTCTGGTTCTCACCCTCCTCCCCCAGCTCCTCTGCTGCTGTGACTGTGCCTCGAGTGCAGCTGAGGTCGCTACTGCCACCACCTCCCCTCTGTGCTGCTCACCAGCTTCCTCTTCACATCCCCTGGTGCTGCTCCGGCTGCATCATGAGCAGCAGTCCCCAGTGCCCCCAGTGCCAGCGCTCTGTTCCCTGCCCCCAGAGCAGCCCCTCGCAGCAGGAGCTGTCCAAGGAGCCCCAGCAGCCACAGCCAGCAGCTTTTCCACATCTGTTCTGTGCTGGGCACCCCCTTGCAGCTCGAGGGCATCCTCTGGGATGTGTGCCCGTGCCAGGCTTGGCCGTGGGGCCGCCTGAGCCCCACCAAGATCCCCAGCACCTTCTGCCCGGCCAGGCTGGCCCTTGTGGGCAGCGCTGCCATCACCAGCGCCTTGACTGTGGCCTTGGCCCAGACCCGTGGCTCTGGCAGCTCCCCAGGCCTTCCCATGGGCTGGACCTGTGACAGCGTGCGAGGGGCTGGGCTGCAGAGCCTGGCAGGACCCAGCATCCTGGCAGCCTCTCTGTGGTGCTGTTGGATGTCTTGCAGTGTCCCTCTCCCAGCTCCCTCTGCGCCCAGTCTGTGCCTCAGTTCTCCCAGGGCAAGCCAGCGTGATTCCATGGATCTGGGGCAGGCATGACGTGCCATCCTCTGTGGGGACCCGGCAGTGTAAGCCTGCATGTGTGTGTCAAGGTTAATGAGTAATTAAGGTGGTTTTTGATGAAATTCCCAGGCAGGCCACAGGGGTCCGGGGTGCATGGAGCAGCTCTGCTGCTCCCCAGTAACAGCAGGCTCGAGAGAAAGAGCTTTAAATTAAAGTGGAATAATGATGGTGCAGCTCTGGGCTCCTCACTGCTGGGAGCAGGATCTGGGGGTGCAGCTCTCCTCCTTGGAGGGCACAGGGAGGGAAAGCAGGAGTCCTCAGCTGTGTGGGTTGACATGGGGCACATCCCCTGAAGCCTCCCACCCACCCACCCAAGCTTGGGAAGGAACTGGCTCGACCATCTGCATTTATTTCTTTCCAGGGCTGACAGAAAGGCTGAGAGGGTGGACAGGGGGGCCCGAGGCGGGTTGGGGGAGCTCAGCCCCTGCCCCCGAGCAGGGCTGGGCTACACGAGGCCGTAGTAGCGCCGATAGGCTTCCTGCAGCCCGATCTGGTCGGCCAGCTCGTCACAGTCGGGGTTGAGCTCGCACACCTCGCGCTTGGCCTCGAGGGGGTCCCACGGGGCTCCAGAGACGCTGCTGGGGACAAACGGGGCACCCAGGGGTCCGGGGGGTCCCACGGGAGCCGGGGGCTCCTGGGCTGAGCCAGCAAGGGGGAGCCATGTGGGGCCGTGCTCCTCACCAGAGATCCCTCACCTGCCATAGCCGGAGTTGCGCTTCTGTCTCTGCACCACCTCGGCGCTGGCGCGTCTGGACACGAAGGCTGCAGGGACAGGGCGGTGTGGCAGGGCCTGTCCCTTGTCCCCAGGGCCTGTCCCCTGTCCCCAGGGCTGTGTCCCCTGTCCCCAGGGCAATGTCCCCTGTCCCCAGGGCAGTGGGGCAGGGGGCTGTGTCCCCTATCCCCAGGGCCTGTCCCCTGTCCCCAGGGCTGTGTCCCCTGTCCCCAGGGCAGTGGCTCAGGGCCGTGTCCCCTATCCCCAGGGCAGTGGCTCAGGGCTGTGTCCCC